GACATTTTCTGCTGCACTGCATAGCTGGATTAAGTCACTTTGCACGTTGTGATGCTACTTACACCCATCTGACATCAAAGATTCATGTTCAGTTTCTATATCCCACATGTTGCTGGCCTCTATCTGCTCAGAGCGACTGACCACAACAGCAGTGAAGGAAGCAGCCACGTGACAAACCTGCCACATATCAGCCATGAGAGGCAGAAACGTGAATGTTCATCTGTGCCTGGAGGCTGAATATTTTCTGTTGTCAGGCTGTCAGCGAACAGCGTTCCGGCATGATATCTCAGGGACGCCTACAGGGCATTTCTTCAGCTTTGACACGAGGTTTGCTTTGATTGGTGGACAAATTGATCAGGATTTGGTGGTCAGATGTCACCGTAACTTCAGAAAACACGTTTTTTTTTGGCCATAATTCAAGAATTTATCTGTGTCAGGCTCTGAAAAATCAATTAGTGCCTCCTCTGACCTCCTCAGAGTCAACTGGTTTTAGTTGTACAATGACTTTAATATATTTAACTGAGTCAAGTTTGTCTTCATGCTATGGATGTATCTTGCAGCTGTTAATTAGAGAAACAGCATTAATGTCTACATGTTTTATAGAACAGTCTAATCTCATAGATGGTTTAATTCAGAGCTTGTTTGAGACTCTTTCAGCTTCTCCTCCGATAGTGTTCAGTTGTGGTTTTGTCAGTTTGTTCTGTTTCCGTCCCCAAATTGTCAACAACGGGGACGATGTCTAATCTTGGCACCATCACTTATCTTTTCTACGGAGCACAAAGTGATGTTGCAGGAAGTATCAGTGTTTTAATTCGATGATCAGATGGTATGTTCTGTTGTAAAACGGTCCTTCCATTGTCTAGAACTGGTTCTGACCAACCACCGTCACACATGCTGATATGAACCTGGAAAGTGTGTTCAGACGGTGACACCTGGATGGATGTAGAACTGATCTGGTGTCAGGTTCTACCAGAACCCAGACATGTTCTTCCTCCTAAATGTCATGTGTCCATCTGCTGTACTGATGAAGTTCTGAGGCTCAGAAATGATGGAAAAAGTCCATTAAAGTGATCAATCTGGACCTTCAAGGACCTGGAAGTCTGAAGATATTCACAGTCTGAAGGTAGAAGTCTGCTGCATTAAATATACTGAAGTTACTGTAGATAAAGAATCTGGTGATTCTGAGGAAGTCAGAGGGGAATTTTTTTTCATATCCAGTTGATTTTATTCGGAACGACCCAAATGCTAACCACAACAAAATTTCCCTCAAACGTCTAACAGGATAAAAAGCGATGACATTTCATATCCAGAAGGTCAGCTTCTCTGTGAAACCATAATGTTCTCCTCTTGTTGTTGAACAGTGTTCCTCTGGAACAGAAGGCCAGAGTGACGCCGGGGGTCAGTCTGGTGCTGAATTCGTGGTTAATCTTTGGTGTTCACCTTGAAGCTGTGCTGATTTGTATTTTTTCAATTTCTTTTTGAGATCTCGTGTGCGGCTGTGATGAAAATACGTGTGAATGTGAGTCCATGTTTTAGGATTTTGCAACCTCTTTGCAGCAGCATCTGTATTTGAATCTCCAAACACGTCTAAGTCTTCATTCACTTCTTATGGTACGAGTCTGAACAACTTGAATGTAAACTGCAGCGCGACTGTCGTACAACCACAAAGCTGCAGCTCTAGTTTGCATTGAGAAATTCTCCAAAGTGTAGTGCTGCAGATACGAACCACTTTGCATTTATATGTTCATTATGAAATCACAGTCTGGTAATGAGCTGGTTGCTCAATAACGAGATAATGAAGGAGGGATTGCACAGCGACAGACTGAACAGTGCTGCCAGCTTTGCCTTCAGCTAAGACCGCAGGACGACACACCCACAGTGGATGTATACTCATTTGTTTGCTGTTTTTCATTTGCTTTTTTCACTTCTCTGTTCAACTCATAGTTAAAGGAAGAAGCTCACAAGAAAGTGAGTCATGTTGCACCTCCCGAAGCGCTGCTGTCAGCAGGATATTAACAGGACTGTTGCATCACGAAACCGAATTGTTGTGTTTGTTTTATCCGCAAACAAAGACAGATCTGACAGTCAGACTGAATTCGAAGGGAACAGTGGAGTATTTGTGGCGACAGAACGTGCATATCTTTAACTGTGGGCTGTTTGCTTGAATAGAATCAGTGGCTGATTATATAATGTCATTTTCAGTTTGTAAAATTCAAATCCCCATGTTCAACGAACAACACAGCTCATGTCAGACTCTCCAGTTAAAGCAGCCAAGTCCCGAAATTATCAAGTTGACATGTTAGAAGTTGCTGGAATAAAATGGGAAAAAAATATTAACACAATATCAGAAAATACAAATATTTAAAAAATATATTAATAATGTATATAAACATATTTCTATAATGTCTAAAAAATATTAATAAAATGTTGGAAAATATTACATAAATGTTAAAAATATATATGTATATTACAGTTCCTATAATATAAATCATTTTTCCAAAAAATAATGTCAAAATGTCTGAAAATATTGACATTTCTGAAAATAAAAATAAAATGTAAAAAAAAAACACATTAATGTCAGGAAGTCTCAATAGTATATCTAAAAAAATATTATTAAAATGTCCACAAATGTCAATAAAATACCAAAAATATATTAAATACTTCAAAGTGGTAATAACTGTTTTGAAAAATATTTAGGAATGTCTGTTATGTATTTTTAAATCTAACAAAATGTCCCAAAAATCAATAAAATGCCCCAAAAATACATTGTTTTGTCCCAACGTATGAATAAAATGCCCCAAAAATACATTGCATTGTCCCAACGTATGAATAAAATGTCAGAAAGTATCATTGAAATGTCCCAAAGAAAAACATTCATTGTAAAATGGCAAATGTTGGAGCTGCAGTGCTGTTTTCTGGCAGTAATCAAGGAAGAAGAGGAGAGAAGCCTGAATAATTCACATTATTTATACAGTGAAAATATGAATATTTATCTGATAACTCTGCACCACTTTTTTGCATCACATCAGACAAATGATATCCCAGTCGTGTACAGCCACATCCTCCTGATATGAATAACGGTAGACGATTAACAGTCGTCTCTCTCCGCAGCGTGACGTCGGAGCAGCTGAGCCCTGCGGCGGCCATGTTGGATCTGTTTCTCAGCGTGCTGGTGTTGACCCGTCTCCACCCGTCGCCTCACAGCACCTCCATGCCAACCTAACTCCTCCTCCTCCTCCTCCTCCTCCTCCTCCTCTCTTCCTGCATCTTTCTTCCACCACCTGGCCGGGAGAAAGGTAAACATGGGCTGGTTCTTCAGTAAATCCACAGCAGATTCAGGGTAGATAGAAAAGTGTTGTTGTTAAAGTGGAGTTTAGGTCAGATGGTCATTAATAATGAATGTGCTGCTGCTGTGATTGGCTCTCGTTAAGTGATTTTAAACTTTGATGATGTACTTTTTTTGGGATGCCTGTAGAAGAACTCATTTAAATCCAGTTTAACATCTTCTTAAGTTTACTTTGAGTGACTAAAAACTCCACAGTGCACATTTAAAATTCAATATATGATCCTATGTCTTCAATAAACCTTTATGATGTTTCCAATGGATAAAATAATGACTGTACAGATTATTTTGCACTATATCATTTACTAACCATCTGAAGCCGGAGCAGTTTTTGGCCATGTTTTCTGCTTCTGTCGTCACATTGTTCCTCACTGTGATTCATTTGTCACTGCAACTTAAAGTCCTGCATCTCTATGGAATCAGAGCAACCAAAGTAAAAAAATATCCTAAAGTTAAAAAAAAAAAAAGAAATAAGAGAGAGAAGATGATAATTGAATTTCTGTCATTATTTATTTTTCCAAATTGAAAAAAAACCCCTTATATATCAACATGTACACCTTTTTTTCCAAGTCCCTCAAGGTGAAACTCCAAAAACTGACCAAACAAATGGAGGCTCCACATATATACATGTTTCTCTATTTACATTTTTAATTTCTTCCAATAGTTGTCTCCTCTTCGTGACCACTGCCCACAGTTCACCTGAAGAGTTCCTAAATTTCCGTCACGTGACTCTAGGTTGCAGCCGAGTCACTGACGGATTCATGGTTTTGCTGAAGAGGACAGAATTTTTTAGTTTTTTACAGAATCTAAAGTCGAACAGGCTATTTTTTGGGGGCTAAATTTGGTGAATAACAAATGTAGAATGAAGTGATTTTGATTTAAGTGCACCAAGGAATTCAGGATATATTGCTTTTTAACTCAATACGGTTTATTTCTGGCAAATTTTTAAATGAAACATGCAGAATAAATTGATTTCGATGAGCTATCACAGTTTCAAGGTCACATTTGGTGATTTTTTCCCGAAGAATCTGCACAACACACGGGGTTAGTTTAATGACCGTCAGAAAATTTACATTTTTTTACATTTTCTGACTAATGAATGGTGTAAATTCTGTGATTATTGTAATGATCACGTCTTTTACACCTGCTGGCTGGTTTTGCAGCTCTTACACGTTTCCTGAAAATCCAGTTTTAGTTTGTGAGTTTGCACTGACTGTGGTTTGAGCTGCAGTGATGTGATGGTTCTCTGCCCTCCAGGTCCTTGGTCCTTGTGGAAAATGTCCTATGCACACCACAAGCTGCTCACCTGGAGCTTACCTCACCTCCTCCTCCTGCCGCTGACCTACCTCTGGCTCTTGGCTCCTCCCACAGGTAAAACAAACCGCAGACGGGTAAAGAAACACATCTGACGGGGCTCGTCTCCTCAGCAGATCCACACACCTTTGATTACTCAGGGAGGGTCTGCATCCTGCTCAGAGTCGTGCTGTGACACTCGGACGGTTTCAGTTTGGTGGTGGGTGTTTGCTGCCGCTCTGACAGAGACGCCCGTTGGCTCCCTGCTGTGTGTTCTTTCTGATGCCAGTCTGCTCAGTGGGTTACAGTATGAAAGAGGACAATAGGGGCTCTGTGAGGACACACTGTGTTGAGTGGTGGGGGTACGAAGAACAGTGGACGTGGGCTGGGGTGACCAAACAGAGGCCTAATGGAGGCTCCTTTCTCAAACAAACTTATACTGCTTTTGTGTGCTTTTTCCTGCGTTGTGAGACCGGTGTTTTTCCAGACTAGAGTTACGCTGACGGACCATAAAGTCGCTCCTGGCTCTCGCGTTGCCATGGCAGCAGCAGTTTCGGGTGTAGCGCTGTCTGAGACGGTCTGATGAACAGCGTTTCTGTTGTTTTTCTTTCGCTGCCACCATCGTGTCCATCAGCAGGTCACGATCTGTGGTGACCGAGCAGCTGCGTGTTGGCTGATAAATATTTAAGATGCCCTGATGCATGTTTACAGAACAGCAGGAACAAAAGTAGGAATAAAAATATATATACGCTGATATGAAAACTTTATTGGACACAACATGATGTACAAACAGATGCTTCATCTAGAAACGGTGTCATCGCATAGTTTGTTGAGCAGCTCTGACTCCATCAGCGTCTGCAGCACATGCAGCAGAGTACAGCTGAGCAGGCAGTGGTGCGGAGTCGTGTCCTCACAGTGAGATGCTAACTGGTTTGTGAAATACAACGTAGGGAAATTAATAAACGATGACCCCATCATCATAAATTGATATTGGAATTTTTTACTCCCTAAAAATCTGTATTTGATTAGATCCAACTTATTATCACTGAGACAACAAAATACAGTTTAGTCGTCATTTTTATTCCAGTTGTATTTTTTCTTTAATTGGATATGGCATTTTTAGCGCTTTAGTTATTTTATCTGTTGTTGTTGTTGTTGTAGTATGGATTTATTTGGTCAATCGTTTAACTGTAATTCTCCACTCTTGCTGATATTCTGGTCTTTTTCCCTTCTGTTTGGACTGACTGGTCTTCTGTTGTTCTATAGTCTTACCGAGTATCCTTCATCATCCTTCTTCTTCTTCTTTGTCGTCTTCGTCTTCTTTGTCGTCTTCATCTTCTTCTTTGTCTTCTTCGTCTTCTTCTGCTTCGTCTTCATCTTCATCTTTGTCTTCTTCTTCTTCTTTGTCATCTTCTTCTTCTTCTTCATCATCTTTGTCTTCTTCTTCTTCTTCTTCTTTGTCTTCTTTGTCTTCTTCTTCTTTGTCGTCTTCTTCTTCTTCTTCTTCATCATCATCTTTGTCTTCTTTTTCTTCTTCTTCTTTGTCTTCTTCTTCTTATGTATACTATGAGTATATACAGTATGTTACGGTATGAACAGAGTGGCATCAACTCACAGAATATCTAAATAGAATAATCTCTAAATAACAGTATAAAGTTATATAAATGTACATGTAAAGGTATAAAAGGGGTAAATGTCGGTATGAACAGTGTGAGATAAATACAGAATGTACATAGTCTGAACAGTCTTGTTCAGGCTCTAATTACAGTTTGAATTCTTTACATTATTTTGAACTTAAACCCTGTAGTTGCAGGTATTTCAGCGAGAGTCCTTCGGTGCTTTTACATTCTGTAATCTCCTCTCTAAATGATGTTTTCATTGCTGCTCCTGCGTGGGATTCAGATTGTCTACCTGCTCACAGGGGATTCATCAGAAAAGATGCAGCATGTAATTAAACATTCAGCATCACTGACATCAGCTTAATCCATCCGACAGCTGTATCGGAGCCAAAGGAAGAGACTGTTGAGGCAAACGGAAGACTTCCTTGTAGCTAAACACAGGTGCATTGTGTTAGCGGCTGGCTGACGCCGTTCATCAGGGCTGCGATGTGGGCATTTTAGGCATTTTTGAAAGCCAGATCAGTTTTCAGTGTTGCAGAAAGTGTGAGAACAAGGAGAACCGGTTACAGTCAGAAAGGTGACTTCTGTTCCGTCTGTTTGGAAAAGGACAATAATTGAGTCAGTTTCTTAAAACAGGGTGGGTTTGTTGAACACATGCTCCTGTTTTGTATTTCTAACGAAGCAGAAGCAGAAACCACAGCTGGACAACTAATCCGTTTAAAATAGAAACCTTCATTTGGAACGTAGCAGTTAGCAAATCACAAAGACTGCAATGTAGGATGTACATCATGCAACACATCTGAGCCAGGGTTTATTTATTTTAATTCTTATTACTGTATTTAACTTGGTTGCAGAAGCTGCTCCAGAACCTGTTCCTGTGTCAGAGCTTTTTATTCCCTTATTCAAATTATTAGTTTTTAAAATCACAGCTGTATTTAATTAACTTAACACAGTCAAGCTGTTGGGCCGTTTTTGCCGTTTAAAATGTAATAAATGCATATTTGAATTGATTTGTAAATAAGATAATCTTTTATTAATCCCACAGCGGGAAAATTTGCAATTTCACTGCAGCAAATGTGAGAGGAATAAAATGTAGGAATATCAATAAAAAATAAACAAGACATACACAGTAGTAATACGTCTAATATCTATATAGCAATACCAATAAAAGGTACGTACAGCTACTGCATTGATGGTGTCTCATGTGTGATAATGGTCCACCACATATTTTACATTTATCACAGCATGAATATTTAACTGAAGCTTTAAAGAATTATATCGGCAATTAGATTTTTTTTTTCTCCAAATCATTCAGCAGAGACGACTCAAGATCAACCACAACTAAAATCTGATGAATTATAGCTTTGAAGAGAATAAATGCTAGTTGTCTAGTAAAGACTTGTACCCAGAGATCACTGAGCCGAATATAGTAACGAGTCCTTCATTTATTAGTAAAGTCTTTAATAATGCAGCGGTTCAAAGTGAGCTGCTTAGAATTTAACAGGTGATCACGAGCTTCGTTGGGATGTAACGGTGAGCCGTGGGTTTGATCCGCTGCCTTGAATAAACCTTTCGAGACTAAAATAAATCCGGTGCAGCTGCAGTTTTCTTGATTCAGCGACTCAGCTGATCTGCTTTGTCTTCCAGTTTATTCTCACATCGTCTGCGTTCGTTAAAGTGCCGGTGAAATTTTACCTCCCGTTTCCCTCTTTGCAGTCTGTGTCCTTTCACCGTCTGTGCTTTTTTTATTGTAAGCGGCTGCACAATAAACTGGATTGACCTGAACTCATTTGGCTCCACGAAAGGTTGAATTAAAGTAGTTTTAGGACCCAGATTAGTGTTTCTGTGGATGAACACACACCAACTGTACCGGCTCACTGCGGTGCTGATACGAGTGCGATACGGCTCGGAGGGTGGAGTTCTGTGTGTTCTGCTCACTGTGCTTTGGGTTTTAATCAGCGTCTTGTTTTGTCAGGGAAAAGCCTGACTTCCTCTGTCGGCTGCTGACTTGGCCGGCTGCTCCGACCGCGGCTGCCCGTCGGCTTTTCTGAGAAACGTTCAGTCAGAGTTTAATCTGTGAAACGTCTCTCCGGTTGGCACCGGGATTCGCTGTGGGTTTCATTTCGGCCCCTTTTGGCTCCGACAATGCCGAGAGGACCCAACAATGCCCTGATTGATATAAACAAGTGAAATCCTGAAAAGACTGAGAAGCACTGTGACGGACCCGAAATGTCGCCTTTGATAAACGGTTGTGATCAAACTAGATGCTCGGGGGGCCAGTGACACACAAAAATCATGCAAGAACAGGAAATACAAAACATTAAACTGCCTCTTCTGACATATATTTGTTCATCACTGATTGACTGAACTGACTGCAGCTGTGTCTTTTGAAAAGTCTCAATACTGCTGCAACCTATTAGTAGAGAAGTAAACACTACACAGTAAGTAAATCAAATATCCTGTAAGGTGCAGCATTTAGACAGCAAACTGTGGACAGCTGACGGTGGATCGGTTTGTGTTTGTTATAAAGAGCTGCTGTGGTTTTCTGGCTGACGTTCAGTCAACGGGGAACTTGGTAACGGAGCTCCACGACTTTCAGAATGAGTTTAAAACCTGATGACAGAGTTTGGTCACATATCTGCTGCTATAAATACACCTGTGGAGTTTGTTATCGCTGTGGCCCGGTCTGAGGTGCTCGTAACAGGCTGATTAAAAGTCACGAGTTTGGACTGCAGCAGCTTTTATTCCTGCACCTCTGATGTTTACGTCCAAGAAGAGTTCGACGTACAACCAGCTACACAAACCCGATGTTGAGCCAAAACCAGCTGCTCTTATCTGGGTCAGACTTTTATCATAACTTTGTGTCAGAGCTATAAAGAGGAGATTATTTCTTTATTACTGACATATCTCCCAGTTTATATTCATCTTGTATACATCTACAGCTGCCTTTTTCCAATAAGGAAATGATCCTCATGTCTCTGCATTATTCTACCGGCCCTGTGTCCTACAGGATAACCTATCCAGTTCTGTTTACTGGTTAAAATAGCTTTAAAGAACAAATTCAACTCCTATAATATGGTTTTCCACTTTTAAAAATGTGATTGCAGCCCCTACATTGTGGCTGGAATGTTATCAATGCTCTAGATTTGATTCATAAGGGGTCGATTATATCCTGCAGGATAATTACAATAGAGATCATTTCTTTTATGTACAAACCTTCCCATAAATCATGTAAACAACAGTCCGATTTCTAAATATTAACAAGGATTATTCACATACAGTCCAAACATCAGGCGTTCTGTGTTTTTTGGTTGCAGTTATTCAGTTACAGAAAGTTTCTCAACCTTTGCTAGTTTGGTGTTTTTTGCACATGATGACTGTTTGACCCAGATTAAAGCAGCTGCACGTATATAAACCAGGTGATAAAAAAAAAAAAACAACTAACAAGCAGCAACAAGCAGCAGTTTTTGGCAGAAGATCCCTTCTTGTCACGACACCAGCACAGCTTTGGTCCAATCCGTCTGCCTTCGTTCATCTGTAGTTAACTGAGAAACCCAAGAGCAGAATTTAATGACGGTGGAGGATCTTGAAGTTCTGGCTGGTCTGAGTCCACCAGAACCACGAGGCTGCACTGAACTAATAACATGTGGTTCTTTGTTGAAGTAGGTCAGGGGGAAACCCAGAGAGTCATGTTCTGCACATACGGCAGCTGCATCCACTCAGTACATGTGTGCAAAACCCAAAGGCTCATATCAAAGATTATTGGTACGTGTCCTGTTAGGGCCCGACTAGATGCTTCACTAAACTCTTTCTAGAAATATAGAAACCGATTCATGACCTTCTACTGTGTTCTCATTTTCTTTATTCTTTGTGGACCGTCTTCCCTCCTCTTCTGTGAACTATAACCTCGTTGGAAATGGATTCGTAATGGACTCACTGCTTTCCTTCGGTCCAGGTGTGTCAGCGGATCTCTGCCGGGTCACTGGTGGGGTTCTGGGGATCCACTGGAGCAGTGTCATCAGCCTGGGCTGGTACCCTCTGGCGGACGGGCGGGCCGGCGCCACCTGCTGGGAGTCGTGCTGCATGGAGCCCAAGTGTAACGCCGTGTGGAGCCTCGGGGGGCGCTGCGTTCTGCTGAGCTGCTCTCGGAGGAGGGGCTGCGCCATCTCCTCGCTGCCCCAGCCCCACGAGGAGTCGCTGGGCCTCCTGCAGCTCCTTGCCAAGGTACGGTGAAGAAAACACTGTCCAACAAATCTGCATCTGGGCTTTATGTAAAGTACCCACAACATACTTTCTTTGGTTAGTGCAGTCGTCGATTTTGGTTTTGCCAAAAGATGAAAATTAAGCTTGGGCCCAATCTCTGTCTCTGTTGACTTTTTTTTTCTGTGGATAATTCTTATGTTTAGAAGTCATAAGCAGACCCTCTAAACTCCAAGCAGCAGTTTCTGGGCCTTTTTTGCTCCTGTCTCATTTTTCCTCACTGTAAACGGTCTACACTTATAAAGCGCTTTTCTACCTTAACGGCACACAAAGCGCTTTACAATGTGTTCCTCATTCACCCATTCACACACATTCATACACCAACAGCGACAGAGCTGCTATGCAAGGTGCTGGCCTTGGCATTGGGTTCGAGTTCAGTGTCTTGCCCAAGCACCAAGGACTGTGGAGGGGCCGGGGATCGAACCACCAACCTTACAATCAGCTGCTCTACCAGCTGAGCCCTCAGTGGCTCCTTTTTCACTGCAATATAAAGTCCTGCAGCTCTATGAAACAGAAGAACCACGAAGAAGGAGAGAGAACTCAGAAATGTCTCCTGTGCAGAATGACACAGAATGACAGAAAACATGAAAAAAGAAAATGAACTAACAGGAGAAACAGCTAGTTTAGCTTAGAGTAAAGACTGGAAACAGCTGGGTTACAGCTGGATCCAACATGGCGGGGGTGCTCCTGCAGGCTGAACTTTTCCTGTTCTCGCAGATGCACTGGAGCATTGGAAATTTGTAATTTTGGAATCAACATGTGCAACATTTTTCTAAGTGAACATAGATGTGACCAATACTGGGGGAGATGGTGATTCTACATGGCAGAGATATTTTACTCATTATATTGTTAATTGGCCTTCATTCCCTCTCTGCACTGTGTGAACACTGCCTGCAGTTCAACTGAAAAGTCGCTGCATTAACACACGACTGCTGCCGAGTGACTGACGGCTTAAACTTTGGGACAAGACGTTCAGATTTTTTTGTCTTTTACAGAATTTGATGAGGGCAAAATGTTCATTTTGTTCAGACTTGCATAGTAAAGTGATTCTGATGAAATAAAAGGATTTTAAGCTTTGATTTGTTGAGCTTCACAGACGAGCAGTTTCCAGCTCTGATAAATTGTCTGACTTTGTCAGTCTTTTACGACTGATGCCTTTCAGACCTTCTGCCGGGCTTTGGGCTTCAGAGGATGAAGTCACATTTTTATGTTGCACAGAAATGATCCCAAATGCAGCGAATGCTTCTAATCGAATCTACAAATCTTTGTTTCTACCTGTCAGGGTCCCGTCAGAGTGCGGCGTAGAAAACCTCGTCACACAACACACAGTGGAAGCCAAAAAACACACACAGGACAGATTACCAGCACGGTGAGTTGGTGGGAAATTACTGGTTGCTTTTGAAAGTTTCTGTTGATCATGGCGTCGATTTGTTCTGCTCACAGGCTACAGCACTGCAACCCAAATACAGCAGAGTTGTCTTTCACTTTCTGTTGTTCTGTCTTGAATAATTTCCTCCTTCTTTGTTGCGATCACACTGATTAATGGATAAGATAGGGCGGGGGTTGACTTGGAGGATGTGAAAATCCATTTCCACAGTATTATCTGGCTCCTTTGAGGTTTTCCAAACTCTCCAGATCTGCTCTTTGTTTGAGTTTCTGATATTTTATAAAAACCCTGCACGTTTTTAATGGCACCCACAGGAAAGCTCCAAACTGGGAACATCTCACCCGACTCCATCAGCATCCAGCACCATCACACTTGTCCAAATATCCCAAAAGAACCACAGCCAGACAGCCAACGGGAGCTCCGACGCCGTTCCTGCTTCATTGCCGCAGAACTCGACGGTGGACGACACCATCGATGCTGCAGCGTCTTCCAACAGCACCGACGGCGGCGGCGGCTCACCGACGGCGGCCGCCAACACCGTAACCACAGCTCCGACTCAGAGCGGTGAGTGACGGATCATCTGCTGCCCTGACAGCCAGCACCTATTTCCAGCTCGACCACTAATACGTCTCCATGTATTAATTATGAGCTAATGCATAATGTAACAGTGCCGTACTGGTGCCGCGTTGGAGCAAAGACTTTCAGGGCTTTTCTCCACTGAATTTAGTCAAAACTCATCATTTTTCTGTCCTTCACTGTTCCCGCTGTGTTTCTGCTCCAGCGCTGCCGTTGTCCAAATCACGCAGGTGTACTTTGGCAGCACATTTTATGGCAGACTGCTCAGATGCTATTTTTCCCAGAGGAAAGCAACATGTGCTGTGAAACCAAATTAGTGTAAGCAATAGGAATGTGCTGAGACACGCTGGTCTTCTGCAAACAGGAATAACTCGACTGATCGGTGCGCCTTCCCCGAAGAACAATATCTGTTTATTAACTGACAAATGGCAACAGACTCAGCGGCGTGACTCATCGCAGCCGGAATCGTTTCAGTTTCTTTAACGGAAAGCAGATTCACCAGAAGAAAGAGCCGAGCCGTTTTAAATGAGGACTCAGAAGTGGTGCGATGGTCAGTGGTAGTATCATAAACGTCTGTGATTCCTCAAAGGGAAAATCAAAGCTTGCACAATAACACAGTCTGATTCAAAGTTAAACCATTTTACACGTCTGTTTTCTTCAATTAGTCCATTAGTTGATGAAAAGGTTGATTGTTTCATCAAACGATTGCTGTCAAAAAAGAGTTTTTATCCAGCTGATCACTGTCTGGAACTTGTAGTTGGTAAAAATCATCAATCATTTTAAAATGTTTTCATTTTTATTGTATTATTTTTTTTAAACATTTTATAAATACGTGAGAGACATTATTATTTTACTACTATTTTCAATGTTTTACTGAATTATTTGTAGGTTTTTTTACACATATTTTCAGATGTTTTCTAAAGAGGTCACAGACATTTTCTCAATATTTTATGGACATTTCATGAAATCAGTTTGCTGGACATTTTCCTAAAATGTTTTACTAATATTTAATTGCTTTTTACTGAATTCTCTGATATTTTGACGTATTTTCA